GCGCCATTAAAAAAAAAAAAAAAATCACCTAATTTCATCCCCCAACCCAAAAAGCACCCTATTCACAAAAATCTAAAACAATTACTTTCATCTAGCCATTCATCTTTCTCTATATTCACAAAAAACACAAAACCTAAAAATATTTGTATGTAATTTTGAATAATTTTAATATTTTAAACAAATTAATATAAGTATTTATATTACATATCGATTTTATATTTTCTACGATAATTTTTAATTTATAAATATTAATGAATGTATCTTATCCGATCATCTCGGAGAGTTCATACTAATTCGTTTAGTATTCTATTAATAATAAAATTATTTGTTGGGCACATATGATTTGTAGCTAAATTCAAAGCCCAAATAATTTCTTAAACTCGGGCAATAGGCAGAAATCTAAAAAAAAATCCAAATGAATCAGCATCATATAATAAAAGGACAAGAATAAAGAGATGTCCTTTGAATATCGTCTCTGAAAAATCCCGTAACCTAATTTCCTCAATTCAGTCGTCGTTCTTCTCCTTTCGCCAGCACTTCACATGCGGGGCTCTCTGCGCGGGCGTGCTGCTGTCGCCACTGGTCAGGGCCCCCGACTCTTCATCGAGGTGGAGATTTCACGGTCGATTGGGGCTTCATTGTGCCGTGTTGCTCCGGGTGGCTTTCGATTGCGAGTGTTCCTCCGGCGTCTCAATGGTGGGGCTAGGTGGCGTGCTCCGATTTCTGTTGCGCGGAGGTCGAAGTATAGGTGAGTCCCCTTTCTTTCCCATTTTTTCTTGCTCGCCTGGGGTTGGTGCGTAAGTCCTGGCCGGGAGTGGAGGGTCGCTGCCTGTGGCTGCTTGGCTGATGCCGTCGGTGGTTTTTGAGAGGGTTGGTGCTTGGGGTTTTCGTGGTGCCCTGCTGCCCCTGTTATTCCCGTTGTCCCTTATGTTGGGAGACGGGCTTTCGTCGGTGGTGCCGATCTAGGGCTCGGGTCATCTGCGGGCTTCTAGCTTCTGGTCGGTAGGGTTGTGCGAGTCTGGGGCTGACTTCGAGTTGACTGGTGCGTGGGTGAGATCTGAGGACCTCTGCTATGATCTGTAGTTTGTGTTCTTCTTAATTCACATTTGATCGTATCTATAGTTTGTGTTCTTCTTAATTCATGAATAATTGTGTCCTCTCAAGCTACTATGTCCACGACTTCCTATTAAATTCTTGCATATCATTTTATAATTATATTTATTTTATATATTTATTGTATTTGCATTTTGTTTTCTTTCTTGCAATTTTGGTACTGGTGGTTGTTGTTAAACATTGTATTGAAGTTAACCTGACACTGAATGCAGTGAGGACACCAAATTTACAGTCCCCGTAAAGGGATGGTCATCAGCCAACAAAGAGTCTGGTTTGAACTCCAATGTGGTAGCAAACTCTTCCTTTGTATTATTTCACTTATCTATGATCATTCATAACATAGTCTAATGTTGTAGTTGCATAATTTGTAGGGAACCGTTCCATTACGCCGAAGTAGCAGAAAGAAATCCAAACTAGACCTATTTGTGGGCAGAGGGGGGACTTTTTCAAGGTATTAATTTTATCTCTTTCTTAATGTAATTTTAGGTCCTTTAACTTGCAAATACATTTTAATATTGTTGAACTTTGACGAGAAATTCTCTATGTGGAGGCATGTCAACTTTGAGGCCAGGACGCCCAATGCAAATCCCAATGACATACCACTCCTCCTTTTGTTTACTGAATTATATAAGAAAAATGACGAATATGAACTTAGCACACTGTCACATGTGAACCCTTCCCATGATGGTCAGTGTTACTATCTTTGTGCCACTGAGTATTTGGTGGCTGGTTTCTCTGTTATGTGGTCTTGATGATTTTTACACGTTTCTTGTGCCTAGCTCTACTCCTGACATCATTTTTCTATATTTGTTCATGGTATGTGGAGTAACATTATTTCTGCAAATTTGATTGGACAAAAATTTCATCAAGACTTCAAGTGTGTTAGAAATTTTCAACCTTATTAATTTTATTCCTTATCATAAACATGATTCACAATGTTGCAATCTTGTTTCAACAAGGCACAAAAAGTTGAAAATTTAATTGATGTATATTGTGTTATCATGGGTGGATATTTGTTGGATAATACTGCAATAGTTTTTGTTCCGAATCTGTTTGTTTGTAGTTATGTTTGTCAAAGTTGCGGCATATCTTGTGTGGTTCATCCTCTTCATGGATTTTGTGCCGGTTTTGTGCCTCGTAATTCTCCTTTTTCCTGCCCTCTTGTTTATGTTTGTTATATTATGATAATGACAAACTAAATGTGATATTTCATGCAGGGATCCTTGTGAGCCCAAGATAATTTCTAAAGAGATGTTGTCAAACTGACAGAGTTCGCATTGAAGGACTACAGTGATAAACATATTTTTCTTTTGGATTTGCAAGAAGAAAGTCCCGAGGCTAGTGTTTCTATAGGAGATATGTCAACTTAGAAATGTGATACAATGGAATTTGCTATATTTTTTATTAAAACATTTTGACTTTGTTTTATTATTTTTTTAAATTGTGTTTGAAACATTTTGAGATTATTAGTTCGTTTATTTATGTTTTTAAATTGGCAAAATTACTATTATTGTTGTTTTTTAATATAGACAATAATTATATTTATAATATTGAAATTTTTTAATTTGTCATTTAAATTATTATTTATGACACATTTACTTGTAATGTATTTGTTTAGATTTGTCACCATACAAAATTTTAAAATGACAGTAAAATTTTTGTCACTAAATATTTATCTTTTCAGGACAACCTATGTTGTCATTTTATCTCAAGCTTTTAATGACAATTTTTCTTCGTAATCATAGTGTTAAGAATTTTTGACAAAAGAATTCGTCATATTTTAAATTTCTTTCTGTGACGACTAATATTTTGTAATTATAAAATTACTCTTTCATTACGAATTGTATGAAATATGACGATTTATCTAACGGAAACGCCACAAAGATATTCTTCACTGAAATTTTATAAATTTGATGAAATAATAAATTCGTCATTAAAAAAAATTAGAGGACAAAGTTAAGTTTTCGTCATTTAAAATTTGTCTTTTTGTGACAAAATAATAGTTTATATGACAAAATTCTCATAATAAACGTGACGAAATTATCGTCATGAAAGATAACCAAATAACATGACGGTACATATAAGCGTCATTAAAAGTGAAACATTTGGTGACAAGTTTAAAATTTGTCACCTAGACCTAATATGACGCGACTACGGTGACGATCTCTGTGACGATAAAATTTCGTCATCAATTTACTTTTGTGACGAAAAATAAAGTTTCCATGACGAATTTTATCGTGACAATTTCTGAAATTTCTTGTAGTGAAGTAAACTACCCTAATGTAAGGGTGAAAGCTTCTTCTTCATCATGATCATCACATTATACATTTTAATTCATATTTTTTTATATACAATTATTGAATGAGTTCTAACTTGAGTGTTAAAGATTTTTCCGTTGGGACCCCCTCTCGGCGTATCATAGGTCACCAGAGATCAAAACGAAGGCAGTTCGAGGCGTAGGCAGTTCAACTCGAATCGTGACAAAAGTGATGCAACAATTTTTTGGTTTGCCTTGTATTCTTTTGTTTGCTTGGTGTTGTATTCTCCATTATTGGAGTGTTTGATTCCCTCACGTAGGAGTTAGATAACTTTTTTAAGAAACGGGGAGAAAAATTGGTGCGTTCCCACGCAGATGAAGTGCACCAAGACAGAGAAAGTCCATATGAAGCCCAAGTGAGGTTCTATCCCAAAACCAATAGGTGGAAGGAAGAGTAGTCCATTAGACTTATATATTAAGCCTATTTTTCTTATATAAACGATGTGGTACAACTCACAAGTGAATATTTTAAAACGTTCCCTCACTTGTGACTCCTTAATAAGAAGTCCAAGTCCATATACGCAGCTGAGTGCCTAAGCCCTAGAAACAGGCTCCCATAAACAGGTACGTGGGGAAAAACGGGCACGTCATACCACGACCCAATAAAACTGGCTCTGATACCATGTAAGAACAGGTGCGGTCCCACGCAAATGAAGCGCACCAAGCAGAGAAAGCCCAGATGAAGCCTAAGTGAGGTTCCAACCCAAAACCAATTGATGGAAGGAGAAGTAGTCCATTAGACTTATTTTTCCTATATAAACGATGTTGTACAATTCACAAGTAAATATTCTAATAACTTTAATTAGCTTGTGTTTGTTTGTGTTCGATTGTAGACTACCATTGTGTAGACCTCCCGATAAATTCAGCTAAGTTAGCTCATTTAATATGATATTTTTAGCCGTTTTCTACCTAATATTTAATTACATTGTTTATTAGCACAAGTGGAAATGT